ACATCATAAATAGAACAAGGCATCAGTTTAATGTCGGGTTTTGTCATGTCGCGCCACAGTGTAGACAGCGTCACTGATTATAATGGGTACTACTGTATTTTGGCGCTCGCGTCCAGTGTAGACACAGTGTTTAATGTCGTTGGTGAGGACGAAAGTCTGTGTGTGTCCTATGCCTTAGCGGACAGCATGAAACCCACAAAAAAATAAATAACAGAGAGAATAATAATAACAGTTATTCTCTCTATGCAATTTTTCAATGTTTCAAGTGATGCAGGCGTTTTTTCCCTGTAGGTTTTTTTTAATTAAAAAAGCATTATTTTTTCATAATGTTTAGTGAAATTATTTGGTAGTCTGAGGTGGAATGGGGATTCGGGAAAGGGGGGCAGATTTTTTTATAGGTTTAAAGGGGGGCACAACCCAAAAAGTTTGAGAACCACTGGTCTAAAGTTAACAGACAGTGTTTAAAAAGTGCAGTGCACATGTTTACATAGTTCTGTAAAGTTGCTTTGCAACGATTTGTATCGTGAAAAGAGCTATACAAATAAACTTGAATTGAATTAAAATAAAATAAAAAACATTTTTATCGTCAAGCTATGTAACTAATAAAATACAAATTTTTGATTGACATCCTGTAATATTCTATGATTGCCAGTAGTAACAATATCTGTAGGAACTATGGTTTTGTGGTGGAAACTAGGGCTGAACGATTAATTGCATTTGCGATAATATCGCGATATGAAAAAAACACAATTTTTCAATCGCAGAGGCTGCGTTTACACTTGGTCACGTGACACGCGAGAGTAAAGAGGTGTTTTCGACTTGAAGATCGATCAGTGTATGACATCAAAGTATGGCGAGAGAAAGCATAAGGAGACGTCCGCACTCTCTTATAGCTCTCGCAGTACTTTCATAACACACACACCCATCGCGGGCCATCAACAGAAAAAGAAAAGAAATAAAACAGTTAACAGACAAAGGACGTAACGGAAACTTTGGTTTGCCATATTATCTATGGCTCATAAAAGTCATTTATTTCAAAATTGAACATCACGAAAATCATTCAGCTTATGGTATTAAAATAAGAAAAGTAAAATTACAACTGGTTCTATAAGACGCGGTTGTGAATTCCCCAAACATTATGAAAATGTATGTTTCTTTTACTGTATGTTATGATGTATAGGAGAAAGCCCTTGCAAAAAGTTTCACGGCAATCATATTTTTCTGCCTAAATACTAAAGTTACAGCAGTTCATATCATAATACGTCTGTGATCTAGTTGGTCTTAGTCACCAGTTTCGTCAAAAAAATAAACTCTCTTACACGGTTTGAATAATTTCTCATTTTTTAAATTTCTTATTTTTACTACTGTAGTAGCTATAGTATTTTGTCTGAAACGTTGGTTCCCATGGTGTATTTTTGTACGGAACAAACAGGAAATGGAGAAGGTATCCGAGTGAGTCTGTGTGCTTGTGTGTGTGTGATGGGATTACAGCTCTTCTGAGCTCGGTGGACAGCACAGCACACGGAAGATAATCTTGTGCGAATCGATGGTAGGACGAGAGCAAGAATGAACACGGTCCCCACGGACACTGCAACACTCACGCATAATTACCGCCAGACAACAAATCAATGCTCTCGGTCGTTGGGACCACTCAACCCGGACTAAAAACTCACCAGTGAGACGTACATTCCCTCTGTATATATACAGACTGTACAGCTACACAGTAAATCACAAATGACTTCACAGACCTGTCTGTCAATATTTCAGTTTGATTCCACTAAAAGGCCAAAGTGTTCGTTACCGACGTGCCTGGATTTTTGGTATGTTGCATGTAGAGTGCCAAAGCAAAATGTTTTCTGCCTTTGATATCACCTTCAACAAGTACTTTAACTTCAACTGATTTACTTTTACAGTGTGACTATCATGAGGAGTTTGTGAGTTAAGGAATGCATTATTATTATTATATAATCGGTTCAATCAATAATAATAATATGAATAAAAAACAAAATAAAATAAAAACATATTGTACAGTAGTATTATACTACAACAGTAAAACATATATGTATTATGAATATTGAATAATAATAATAATTCAAAATAGTATACAATTTATTATTTTACATAATATTTTTTACAAATATAATAATAATAATAATAATAATAAACAGTAAAACAACAACAATAATAATAATTTAAATATATTATTATTATTGTTGTTGTTTTACTGTTTATTATGTGTGTTTACTGTTGTAGTAAAACGGTCTTATTATTGTTTAATTAAATGAATATGTCAAAAAGCAGAGATAAAACAATTGAAAAAATGGTTCTGCTACTGGTAATTGTAAACAATCAGTACTGGTCAAAACAAAACAAAACAAAAAAACAAAAAAATAAAAATTTATTTGGCAATATTTGTATACAATTTTATTATTTGTATAATACAATATTTGGCATTTCATGCAAGGTATCCATAAAAAAGGATGGACTGGATCTCACCTGTCAGTCTTTGGCGGGGCAGTTCTTTGCTTGTTAACTTTTGCATAAAGCCCCTCTAGCACGTCCTCATTGGGCAGCTCTCTGTTGGGGGCGGGGACTGTAGGCTGAGAGTAGTTATGGGTGGGAGTTCCAGGTGGATAGGAGGAGTGACTGGAGGCGGGAGGCTCTCTGAAATTGTTGATGCGAGCATAGTTGGGATCCAGGTCATCGTCTTCGACATCCGGGAAGATGGCACGGTCAGGAGCAGGGCTGTTCCTTTCACTTCTGTGGAATTAAAAACATGTTCTTCAGGATATCTTGGATGAATAAGCACATAAGCTTGGAGCGTTTGTTGGACAGAGATGTGTTAGATCCGTTAGATCCATTTTCTAGGGCAGAAATAGCTGGGTCATTATTGACCGAAAATAATTTTGGTCATACAGCGGTGTGTTATTTTTGCAAACCCTTGTTATTTTTCACTACATGCTTGCAATACACCATTCCCATTGAAATCAATGAATTTACAGTGAATTTACTCTAAAGCAGGTTTCCTTAACTTGTTCCTGAAACCATATTTTTCTCATTTTCCAACTCTTCCTAATCAAATGCGCCTGCATTTAACTCATCAGCTTGTTAGTAAAGACTCCAAGACCAAAAATGAATGCATCAGATGAGGGAGACATTCAAAATGTGTACTGTTGGTGTGGGTTGGAAAATACTGCTCTAATATAATATAAACTCTAACATCATATAAACAGAATAAGCCAGAAATATCTTATATACAGAAGTATTGACTAGAGTCTAAGATTTAATTATGAAATCAAAAGTCCAAATTATGACAAGTAAAAATTCTGAAATACCATGTCATAACTTTGATATAAAAAAAGTCAAAATTATAACACAAGTCCTAATTTCGAGATTAAATGTTAAAATTAGCATACTAAGCCATAATAATGACAAAAAGTTTGAAATAATGACAAAACATTTCCACTTTTTATCTCATATTTCCTACTTTGTATGTCTTTTTTTTTTATCTCGTAATGACTTCTCATGATTATGAATTAGTGAGTTATTATTAATTTAATTTATTTATTTATTTATTGTGGAAGGGTTAAACACCCAAAAACAAATAATGTAAAGACATAAGATTGAGTTTTAATGTGTTTATAAGACAACAACCAATTAAACCAATGGGGCAATTATCAAGTGTTCAGAACTCGTTTGATCATTTCCACAGATTCAGATTGGTAAATTGGCATATTTTTCTATTTTATAACTGAACTTTGTGGATTCAATAATACACATTACATGAGTGGTAAACGTACTTGGACAGAAACATCTCAGGTTCACTCTTGTCCACCTCTTCTTCGCTCAAAGCGCCCAGTTCTTTAGCCTTGGATTTGTTTTTTCTCCCAAACCTTGATGAGAGTTTGAAGATAGCAAGAGTAGAAAAAAAAAAAGAAAGAGCATGGACAAAGAGAGAAAAGGGGAGGATGATTTCATAAATGGTGACTCAACAGTCTCCCTGCACTTCCAAGTACCAAAGCAGAATTTGCTGTAGAAACTCTAATGATTGGTTCCCCATGTACCAGCCTGCAAACACACACACACACACACACACACGCGCACACACACGCCTGCAAAACCAAGCAGTATCAGTGTCCAACGCCCTGCAGTGATTTTACTATCCCATCTCCACTCCAAACCTTCAGAAACTCACATATTCTTCTGAACTGATCTGAGGTTAGGCGGGGTCTCCATGCTGACAGGCAGATAAAGACAGAAGAGGAAAAGGTTATATCAAGAATAAAGCTAATAATGAGAGAGAGTGGGTGAGATGATCACATGATCTCTGGACAGTGAGGCCGTAATGAAACATCAGTGTCAGATGTAAAAAGAAGCAGCTTCTGGTTCACTACATGGGTGATCAATATGAAATCCAAATAATCAAATGATACATAACCCAACAAGATACTAAGCATTCACAGTTGGATGTGATGAGTGAATCTCACAAAGAAATCAAATTTCTAAAAAAAAAATAAAAAAAAATTATAATAATAAAACAATAAATAAAAATAAAAAAATATTATATTTTGGGAACATTACTTTTTTCATTTTTTGTTTTTAATTGCATTGTGATATTAATTTCATGATATTTAAGCACATTTTCCCCCTCGAAGCAAAACAAAACAAAACAAAACAAAACACAAAACATCCCAAAAGTCCTGCAGGGGTACGTAAACAGATATATAAAACAAAGAATTATTTTCAGAAAATTCTATATTTTATTGCATAAATTCAATTCAGTTCAACAAATATTACAATGATGCAAACTTACAATAGTACATTACCAATAGTTTATAAATTATATTATTAATAATATAATTAATATATTTAAAAAAATAATAATATAATGGAGTTATAAAACAAATATTAAAGTATTTGTGTTAATATTTAATATTGTGTAATGCAAATATTATATAATTATTTTTATAAATATTATAAATGTAAATATTATTTTGCATTACAGTAATGACAATTACATTTTATCGCATTATCAAAGGTGACTACAATAATTTGGCAATAATTCCTTAATTGTCATGTCACAATGCAAAAATTCTTAATGGTCCTAAAATAGACTTATTTTCATTATGAAAATATACTTTTGTTTTCATGTGAAAAATGACCTGAACACTTCTTGACATTTTTCATGAGATTCACCCAATAAACATACATCTGAATAATAATGTCGACAGCGCAACATCTATTAACAATGGAGAATTATATTACATTTCCACAAACACACACTCCAGTCAGGAATAATCACAAACCTCAGCTCCCAAGATTCCTAAATTTCTTTTTAATTTGACACAGATATCGCCCGAGGCTTCAGTTTACTGACATAATGTACTTGCATGTTTGCTCAAGATGAGCCGTGACTACATGATCCAAATACTGCCCCACGAGCGATTCAAGGGTCCGGCTGGATCCAGCATCCTCTCGCTGCATCTCCTGTGCGTTATGCCTCAATAGTACTCCATTTCCCAGCCCCACACACACACTAATGACTGTATTTATCTCATTAGGCTGGAGCGATCTAATACCGGCAGCTGGCATGCTAGCTCTGCCTTGCCCTTAAGCACTCTCATTAAAACCAGAGGGAGTCGTGGCCTGAATATCAATGTGCTGCAGTCTTGCTCAATCCGCGTGAGCGCAGCGCCAGTCATCACGCAACACAGAGCTCACACAACTCTACTTGATTATTGGCCTCTCTACATCATGATACAGTACCAAGTGACCTGATCTAGTGTTGGGCGATATGGTCATTTTTCAAATCGTCATATCGCCAGCCCGTGAGATCGCCGATAGACGATATTATCGTGCATGGGTGGGTGGGGGCAAGAGAGAGACTCTCTGTACTTGTCATAGGCTATTTCATAACTATTTGGTGTTTTAAACCACGCGCGAGCGAGAGACAGAGCCTATGGAAGCACCACAAATCTAAATAATATACTTTCAAACATACTGGTAAACTAACATGTTAAATACAAAAATATTTAAAACAACTAGTTCATATATATTCGGATAAAACAGTCATACATAGCTATTAGGACCACGCATCCTGTGACAAGTTTGCCGCATCGACGCGCGGAAGTTATCAGTCTAGTCTGCAAAATCAGTCAACGGTGAAAATCAAAAGTAGATTTATTTTAAAGACCAACAGTTTAACACTAAATATTGGACATAAACGAACACATTAAATATAAAGTATTTAAAGCAGGTAAGTTAATATATTTGGAGTAAATTTAAATTAAACA